ATACTTTAAAAATATAATATTTTAGTCTTTTTCATTATAAGTTTATTGAAATCACATAATTTTGAAATGATTTTTTTTTTTTTTGGCTAAAGGTGAGGCAAATATGTATTATTCTCATATGAGTATTGGAATATTTTATTAGTAAAAAATTATGTGAATCTAACTAAGTAAAAGAGTTGGTTTTAGTAGGAAGAGAAAGGAATAATAGAGATAAAGAAATGGACGGCATATTGTATTCATGTGGGATGAGTTTATGTCACTTTAATTATCAATCCATATCTGCATAATAAATAATAAAAAAAGAAAAATGCAGAATAAAATTAAATTATTTCCCTTCTTTAATCTTATAAAAACGAGAAGTGAGGGAAGGAATCCTTTTTCCCATCAATTTTTCTAGAAAGGAAAATTCAAGACAACTAAAACGTGTAATGGGAAATTGCATTGTTTGGTGGATGCCAAATCACACACAGCAAGCACAAAATTGAGTGTGGAGAGTGAGAGGAACCCTCTAACAAATGTTGGAGTGGACCTACAAAAGTTTAAAGCTAGTATATTATTATTATGTTTTTTTATATTAATTATGGAAATTATTTTATGTGGGTTCTTTGAAATTTAATATTGGTTTAATGGAGTTAAATTTTAGTGCATGGATTTGATTGCTTTTTAAGGAGTATTATTATAAACTAGATCTACCTAAATCATACGCAAAGCTAACCATAATCTTGACTTTATTTATTTGTAAATTATTTAATTATCATTGAATTTATCCTTGATTACTATATCATTTTAGAGATACATTACATGGTAATATCATCAAGACGACATTTTTTTCCCCTTTTTTTCAGATGAAACTGTTGAATTAATATGCATTTAAAGAGTGTTTGACAAAATTTAAAAAGCATTTGTTTTAAAAATAAATTTTTTTTATGAATTTAAAATTTTATTAGAGAAAAATTCAAAAATTAACTTTTTAAATAGCTTTTAAACAAATTTTGAAAAAACTTAATGTATAACTTTTTTAAAACTCATTTAAAAGTCACATTAAAAAGCCAATATCTGAATTTTTCTCCAATCATTTTTTAAATTTATAAAAAAGAAAATTTACTTTTAAAATCAAGTGCCTTTCAAACGTTGTTAAAGACATTCTTACTTGACAAAGATATTAGAGAGACGTTTATAGCACTTTACTAAGTTCCTTAAAACTAGAATGGTAGGTGATGCTTTAATTTGGTAGAAGAAAAGGTGGGTAGCTTAAAGAAGAAAAGGCTCAGTTGAGCATGTTATCATCAGAAACAGCTGGAGTTCATCATTTTGCACTCTATAGCAAAAGTTTCAACTGACATAATCTAACTTCAAATCATTCGAGATTAATTTAATGTCACATTCATGGTTATGCTGTTAAGAGTTTTTCTTCATCAATTGAGGGTATAACACAAAAGTAACTAATTCAATTTGATATAATGAAAAAATAATAATAATAAAAATTAGCTTAAGCCTGTTCAAAAACATGACTTGAAATTGGCAGATTACATTAACGGAATTCACATCCAACTATCAACAAAATTTTGAAAGGGAAGAAATGCTGACATTTGAACTTGATACCAACTAATGTGGAAAAAGATTGAAATTCTAGACATGTAGTTTTCTTTGGATTTGATTCAATGGCTGGATCATACCACGAAACGTGGTCGAAACCATACTAGCTAGAGTTCCAGAGTTGACATCAACTTTGCCTTCGATTATTCTCTCATCCTCAGGAAATGTGTTTCGACAGAAATGTTTGATATGCTTCAAGTTCAAAGAGGAAAAGAAGGGGGTAGCTTTGAGAAGACGGTAGCATGTTAGTCCTCCTCTTGTGTACGAGTAGGTGGTTCAAGGGGTCTCACAGTACGTGGAAGTAGGAATTCCGCAAATATGGGATAATGAGAAGAAGGGTAATAACCATCAATATTACCACTCACCACTTCACAGAGAACAGGTACCAAAGATCTGCCTCTGAAAAGGATCCAGTCTATGTGTAGATCTTGAGTTTGGCGATCCCAGCAAAGGCAGAGGGCTCTAAAAATCAACTTGAGGAATTCAAGAGCTCCCTGCTTGTCACCTGTGGGCACCAAACAAAATTTAGGTTCAACACTGCATCATGCTGAAAGAGCATCATACTGGAAAAAGCCATACCTTTGAATCCGTGAAAAGTCCGTATGAGGGAAACATTCTTTCTCACTCGGGCAGTAGGCCATGCATCTCTCATGTCTCCCACCACACCATGCTCTCTGAACACATTTGAAAATTGGAAAAAGAAGAAAGGAAAAACCAGCAGCAATAAAGTCAGGCTCCCAAATCCCAATCCGAAAGAAAACTCAAATACAGAGTATGGTACCATCATATAAGGCACATTTGAATTTACCGCTAAAGGAAGGTAGATGGTATGAGAAGAAATTGCTCTAGTATGTTCATGGGTGGGTAATGTCGCATGAAATTGTAATTCAAATTAACCAACTTACCATTTTCTAAAATGGTAGAAAGCTTATAGCTTCTTAGAAGATGAGTAGGCAACTTTGCTTAACTTCTAAGAGAAAATTATATTCCAGAAAAAGAGAAAATTATATTCCAGAAAAAGAGAAAATTATATTCCAGAAAAGACACACCCTCAAGCAGATGCGTTATACCACAGACCACCTTAAGATTCAATATGGTTACCAGCTAAAAGGCATTCAATACTTGCCTGTATCCATTTGCTTGCAATTGAAACATAGGACAGAACATATCACTGTTAGTCAACTGCTATTGATATTCTCCTTTCTATGTCAATCAACAAGGCTGAAAACGATTATCATTACAGTAATGTGAATAATAATTTACTTGATTCAGTTTCCACAAGTTCTAATATCTAACCTCATTGGTTGAGCTAATCAATTTTGGGTAGCACTAATGCCTATAAAAGAAGTTTTAAACTTGTATTATCTACTGAGCTCCTGATATGTTTAATCTGTATTAACACAGCGTAAGGAACAGCCAAACAATGTTGAAGGGTATACCTTTGAAAGTTAGAAAAAGCTTATACATGTTATAAGGAGCTGAGAATCTATGTTCCAAAGCAAATATTTGTATTTTAGGAGCTGAGGATCTATGTTCCGAAGAGTACCTTGATCTTCCAAGAAGAAAACGCCCTGTAGTTGATTCTTTCTGTGTGTTGAATCCTCCACAGTACACAACTGGCAAACTAGGAGGCAAGGATGCAATGTGTTGCCATGTAAGTAAAGCACTTCTTCTACGGGCACGGGGACTGAGCTCATCCATGTTAGTATTCACTACCTGAAATGAAAAACCAGGTGGCTCGACTCCTTTAAGTTGGAATGTGTGGGCATCATGTCAAGGAAACAAAACACGAAAATACTCTTCTGTAACAGTAACAACATTAAATTCAATAAAACAATAAGAAAGAAAATGAAAATTGTAAAGTTCAAAGAGAAGGATATCGCCCATGTAGCAATACAAGGAACTGCAGAACCCCATGACATGCTTCCAGGGACTGAAGGTGACTCAGACAACCAAAAAGTTCCACCTTCTAGAAGCTCTACCTTTATTTGATGTGAAAACAACATTAAGAAACACTCTATGTTGATTACTAATGTAACTGACAGAGAGAAACATAAGAAAGTTGGAAAGGTGTTACGGATTGGATCAAAGAACTCATCTTATACCTTCTGCTTGTCATAGAAGATTGTACAATGTTCATCGGAAGTGTCTTGCGCTCCTTTTCTTGATATTCCAAATTGATCATAACCTCCAGAAGACAAGGGAAGGATTTAACAAAACAAAATACAGAATGATCCTTCCTTTTCTGGGCAGTTCACAAGATCATACTCAAATTCAATTTCATCAAATTTTTGTTGAAAGATATATTACCTTATCTGCAAAACCAATTACTTCCTAGAAAATTTAAGACTATTTACCAGAAGAAATATGAATATAACTACAATAATGCCAGCCAATTAACCTTCAGATGAACAAAATGGCTACCTTGCAAGCCCTGCTGAAGATAATCCAGTTGTGCTTTTACACCTGAATCCAACAACCAAAACAAAGGATTTAAATGAATAAACATAACAATAACGACTAGGAGACGCTAAACAAAATTCAGTAGAACCATATGCAGATCAAGCAATCTAAGTAAAAGCAAATCAAGACTCCAAATTGCTTGAACCCATCAAACAAATCCTATTATCACACAGAAACAACCCTTCAATCCTGGAACTTGCACCCAACAAAATTCCTATTCCCCATAAAAGCTCCAGATGGAAAATTAGGAAAAACCCAGATCAATAATACAAGAAAAGCACCCTCAAACGAAAGATCGAACGCATTTTTGCATAAAAAGTAAAAACATCCACTAAAGAAAATAATGAACCCTGACCTTGCTGAGTACAAAGAATCAAAGGGGAGTAACCAGTGATGACACTGATGCACAAATCCCTTCTCTTCTCCCATGAATTGGGGCTTCCTTCTGGTTGATCTCCATGGAGATTGAAGGTCATTACAGTCAAAGAAACACTCATTTTCACCCAAATCTCAGTTTCTTCCCCTCTCCGTTATATTCAAAAATTGCATGATTGCGGGTCAAATAATGCACCCCAAAAGTAAAAAAAGCTGAATGCTTTAACGTATTCTATCCTTGCGAGTTTAGAAATATTGGCTATGTCGTCGATTTTGCTTTTCAAAATGTAGCCTTTGTAGTTGAAAACTGGAGACAATCTGAACAGTAGGGACAATTATTCAATCCAATGCTTCTCGCAACTTGAGCAAGACAAAATACGAGTACAAAATAAAGTATGAAGTTTGACGAAGCACGTGCGAGGTCAAAGGAGCTGTGGCTTGATTCTTCATCGGAGCACTCAGCCCCTTTGTTTTCCTGAAAATTGTGTTTCTTCACATTTGAAGATTTGCGGTCCAATTAAGTTTCATTTTGGATTTTTATTTTAAATAAATAAGTTTTCCCATACATTTCCTTTAGTTAAAAAACACAACAACATAATGCTAATGATTAAAATTTTCTTTTTGCAACAATAATAATTAAGAATGATAATAACTTGTGAATGACGTTTTTAGTCCAATCACAAACGGCAGGGTCAAACAAGTTGTATTTCATTAAATCATCGTCTATGACGTTTTTGTTAAGTTTCATTGAGACTGGTAATATACCCGACTTTAGGTTGTGTAACCTCCCCTCATACTAAACTTTTATTACCAGAACAATATATTTATCAAACAAAATTTAGAACTGAACTTTTTTTTTTTATAACTTGAAACACAGTTCTAAACATGCTGAAAAGAAACAACGTTCAATCAGTTCCGCATTTTTTTAATCATCCACAAACTATTAAACAAGCTTTATTCAGGAAAAAACCACACAGAAAGACTTTATCCACTGGTATCGGCCCTTGTATGTGTGGCTTTTTATGTTCTTCATCTAAGAAGAGTTTTTCAGAACCCACTCCACCAGGGTTGAGATGCCAAATCCTGTGGCAGCACGCTTCTTGTCATTCCAGACAGGGCCAGCCATGTCAATGTGCATCCATTGAACTTTCTCATCAACAAACTGCAAAAACGCAGTTCATTGTTAGAATTACCATGTAAGCAGTGAAATTTATTTAAGGGAGAATGCGAAAGGCATGGAGTAGAGCTTCACAAACCTGTTTCAAGAACAAAGCTGCAGTAATAGAACCACCTGGGCGACCACCAGTGTTAACCATATCAGCAACGCCTGATTTCATTGACTCCCAATAGCTTTCCTCTAACGGCATCCTCCAAAATTTCTCCCCACTGATATCTGAAGCTTCAAATACCTCCTTTGCCAAGTCATCACTGGGAGTAAAGACACCTAAAAAGCAAAAAAATTCCCATCATTTGACTATGAATGTTGCAAGATTTACACCTTAAAAGAACAAAACAATGATATTAAGAGGCAGAAGTGAAACGAGCTCTTTGTGGGCAATCACTTCGTATTCTAGTTTTTAGGAAGTGTCGACTTGTACATAGCATGTATAAAGGGCCTCCACATCAATAAAGAGCATTAACAAAAAAAATTCTCAAAAACTCTCTTATTAATCTAATCAACAATATTAAAAGCATGTATACCTGCAATTGAAGGTCCAAGAGCAACAACACATGCCCCAGTTAATGTTGCCAAATCAACTATCTGCAAAATAAATGACAAGATTTTAAAAAATATTTGAGCAATTATTTGCATGAAATTCATATTTAAGCTACTAAACTCTAGTTGAATTATACCTTCTCTACACCTTGGTTACATGCATAAACCAAAGCATCTGCAAGTGTAAGTCTCCCTTCAGCATCAGTGTTATTGACCTCAATTGTCTTTCCATTTGAAGCAGTAACAATATCTCCAGGTCTCATACCAGTTCCACTTATCATGTTCTCACAAGCTGCAACAATAAAATGAACCTGCATGTGTAAAACACCAATAATAAGTCATTCTACAAGATCTGACCACTTTGACATTAGAAACTTTAGTGGAAGAAAAAAAAATCCTAGATAAGAAAAGATAACAATGCTGCTCCTCACCAGGGGAAGAAAAAAGACAACAAAAGGACAATAAGGACAACAAAAGACTTACCTCAACTCCTGGAGGTTTAATTTGGCCAATAGCTTTTGCTGCCCCTAGAACTGCTGCTGAACCTCCCATATCAAATTTCATAAGCTCAATTGAGCAGCCAGGTCCAGTCTTAATATTGTAGCCACCACTAAAAACATATCAAGCAAATTTAAAATTCAATAAAGATGATCCAAATGAGATAGTAGACAAAAGGAATAACATAACAACCACAACTTGATAAACAAAGGATTAGAAAGATTTATTTTTTGTCAGTGGATTAGAAAGAAAATTCTGACATACTTTATGAAATAGACTAATAAAAACAAACTTTCCCCACATATATAGAATTGCACCTTAAACTATTCAAAAATTGAAGGCCTCTGTTCCCTACTCTAGTTTGTTTTCCATGTGATGGCTGAACAGCTAAACAAGAACAAGCTTCGATATAGTTACCTGTCAAAGGTCAATCCCTTTCCAACTAAAGCTAGCTTCACTTTAACTGCTCCACCTGGGGGTTTGTAACACAAATGGATAAAATGAGGGGGATTGGCAGAGGCTGCAGCAACACCTAGATAAGATCCCATTTTCAATTCTGTACATTGCTCTGCAGTCAAAATGTTTGCAGAAATAACATCGCTGTATAGAGAAGCAATCTTTGAAGCCTCTGCTGCTAGAGCCACTGCAATATAAAAGTGACACAGTACGGTGAAACTAAAAACCATCCAATCTATTGTATACTAGTATAAGTGACAATAAGCATGACTGAAATAAAAGCAAGATTAACAAACCAGGGGTAAGAACATTGGCTGGAGAATTCACAAGTTCCTTTCCAAAGATTATAGCAGAAGAAACATGTTCAGCATATTTGAGCTTCTTCTCCCACTCAGGTCCAGTTCCGAGACCAAGAATATCCACAGATTTAAGAACTGGCTTCTTCGACTCAGATTTATACCTAATATCTTCATATATCCCTAGTACAGTTCCTATAACCAATTCAAATGGTTCAAAAAGTCAACTACAAAGTTCCTCATATATCAATTATACAATGCTATCAAATTCAAAGAGAACTTTTACCAGATACTATTGCTGAAGCAGTATTCAGCTTGGATTCAGCTGCAAGACCCTCCTCTGAAGCAAGTAAAATAGCAACACTATGGGCTTGAGCAGTTTTTGCAGCTGCAGCAACGCCCTCACCAAGACCACGGAAAGCTGCTATTGAGGAAGCAGATTTTCCAAGCCCAATCAAGCCAACCCTTTTCGACCCAAGACCTGGAAGCCTTAGAACAAGAGATTGACCAGTTTTTCCAGTAAAATCCTCTTCAGATGATGCCTCAGCCAAAAGACCACCCAAATGGGCGTCAAGCTTCTTCAAGATTGAGTTCTGAAACTTTGAATTCTCATCTTTACTAAAGTCTTTCTCAGTAACACCCACTGCAAGTATGTCTCCTTTCCATACCGTGACATCGATCTCTTTTGCCTCGAAAGAGATCTTCCAACCATAATCACAAACACAACACCCAAATTAAAACACAAAACATGACAAAAAAAAAAAAAAAAACCCAAAATTTAGAATCGGAATTGAGCACTGTAAAGTCAACAGCAATCACATATTCAGATATTCTTTTTCCACGAATCAAAAAAAAAAAAAGGGGGAAACTTGCTTCGTACCCATGATCTGGAATCAAACGTAGTAGTACAGTATGAGAGAGAGTTACCTTTGGGTGGTCGACGGCAGAGGGCTGAGTAAGGCCAAGAGCAGCGTGAGCAAGAGTGGCCATGAATCTGGCTCTTCGAGAACTCAGAGATATGGGTCCGACGGCAAAGGAAAATCTAAGACTAGGTGCAGACCTCAATTTCGTTATGAACAGGGGGAAGGATGAGGAAGTAAATAGGGAGATGGCCCGAGATGCGGCAATTGTGGCGACCATTTCTCTGTATCGAAGGTTAAGGTATTTATAATCAACTTTATTCCTTTTTGCATTTGACAATTGGACATCACGAACCTATCATCACCTTTTTTTTTTTCTTTTTTCTTTTTTCTTTTTTTTCTTTATTTGGAACTCCTTTAGTAAAAAAAAAAAGATATGCGCAGTGCTAGGAGCACTCGCTCCAGCACGTTACCTAGGAAATTAACATTAACCGGAACGG